TCCATGCGGAATGTTGAGGGCCCCGATTCTGCCTGAATATGTTATATAAATAACGTAACCCGATGTGTGCCCCATCTACATTCCCGTGCAAAGGATCTACCTATTTTCTCAGAGAGGACTCAAGGATTGTAAATCCACTGATAAATCGTAATAGAGATGTTTCAAATTATGTTCGCGTTGCAGTGGCAGAGAAAGTGCTCTATTCTCTTTACCTTCTCCTCGTTCCTGCAACTGCGGTAGAAGTCATACGCCCTTACGCTCTCCATATATTCCCACTGAACAGTATCCATTGATAAAACCAGCCCACTTGTGGCATTCTTGTTCAATGAAAACAGATCTTGTCCATAGCTCGTTTGAGGATAGTTTAGGTTAAGCTAGGTTCATGTAGCATTCGGTCCAATCACCAACTTATTTACACCTTGCAGATCCATTGTGATAGCGCTGTGAATCACGGGAAACCTCAGTGACTATTCTGCATAGAACCATTTTGAAGCTCTTGTGAAGCGTAGGATTGGTTTTATTGCTACACCGGATATTTCCGTTATAGAGCCGAAAAAGTGTCTTCCTAGACAGCCCTCTCTGCTCTTAGCTTAATCAGGGCAGCTACAGAAAAAATGCTCAACTGTTTCTTCTTCTTCCTCGTCTCTGCTACTTCTGCAATATTCATGGGAGAATATTCCTAATCTCGAAGCGTGCCTACCAAATAGCCAATGACCGGTTACAAAAGCCATGACCTCGAAATGTCCTCATTTGAGAGGCTGAACAGTTCTTCCATTTTTTTTCTGACAATTTGCGGCCATAGTAGCCTGGTTGCTTTATAAGTGCCCTCGTCTAATTAGGACCTATTGGCCTCTTGAATGATGTTATTTTGAAATAGTTTGCTTACCGGCATTTTGGTCAGAATTCTTTGCTCCTTCGCAATGCTTTTTTCCGGAATATTTCTGTGATTGGGAACCCAGTGCATCGCATGGCCAAGTTGTTTAGAACCATTCTACGTTGAATTTCTACCTTCGAAGAGGTATTATTGCACCGTTAAATCGCAGCCTGGTTGTAAGAATGGACGGTGATCGAGTACCTATTTTATTACAGAAGAGTTCATGGAGCAGAGCGCTATCTTCTTGATACTTATTATTTCAGCTCGAAAGAATCCGCCGTACCCCGGTATACGCAAGCTTATGACACCATGCTCTAGAGCCTTCACTGGAGATTGAAATGGAACTAGAATCAAGCATTTTACACGGAGATGCTTCATGAAAATCTTTTATCAAAGCTGAATCGAAGAGTAGTATAATCTAGCTAGATATAGCATCTAGAATTTTAGTGCTTTTTTCTTGGGTAGGTCAGATTTTTGCCCAACAGCATTTTAAAAAGACTAATGGAATGTCAAACAACTTATCCTTATTTTACCTATCTCTACCCAATTTTCCAAGCTTGCCACCTTACTCCTTGGGCACATTCATCATAAACGAATCAAATCGTGGACATTTTCGTGCGCTGATTTTTTATAATTTTCGACGTTGATTATGACTGATCACAAGCGACTGCGATTTCACATGCATCGTATAGGTATGATCAAAGAGTCAGAATGCTAGATCTATCTTGAGGACGAGGAGACTTCCGAACACTGCCTAGCCTTGGGTAGGCAAAGATTCATTTATTTTAAAGCCGCAATGGTCAAACATTTAGTAGTAAGGAAATCGACTACCAAGTCCCTTCAGGCAGCCGACTGTATCTTGGGCCTATCAGTTGTATGATTAAATCCCGAAAAACGTAAATTTTGAATTACTTCTCTGTATTATTAAACGTGCGTTATGTGTGCCTCAGTTGTATGTCATATTAGTGCAATATGTATCACTTCACCACAAAACAACTACATACATATGTATGTACATATGTGTATTTACAAATGAGTAGTTATGTTTGTAAATATTTTTGCCTACATCTGATTTTTGTTATTCACCGAATATTTTGCTAAATTTGACAGGGAAACTGCGGCAAAAATATTTATGTATGCAAATTAACTGCGCCAGGTGTATTGAGGCGTATGCATGTATGTATGTATGTGTGTAAATATGAACATACAACATTTCTGCTTAAATAACTGTGCAAATAATTCAACTTGGTTTTCTAGGGATAAGTGTGGGCGACGGTGTTTTATTGCGGCAAAATGTTTCAAAGGTCGCGTGTTCGATGCACTGAAAGTGAAATATTTCTAATACGCCTAATATGCTCAGTGAAAAAAAATAAAAGCTAAACGTTTCTAACCATTGATTTTACTCGCATTTCTTTACTTTTCATAAAATTAGTTTTTCCTTCAAAGCTATTCTTAAAACTAAAAAAAAAAAAAAATTGTTGGTGAGGTGCGGCCCAAACCCGTCAGGAAAATACATATGTACATATATGTAAATTTATATGTATTATATTGATATCTATGGAAAATTGTGTGGTCAATTACATTCTGGTTGATTTGACAGAAAAAGGTAAACAAAATTTGATTATCTGCTATCGTACACGTGTATTCGTGGAAAGTTTATTGATATTTTTAGAAGCAATAAATATTTTGCCGCATAAAATGCATATCTAATGGGTGAATAAATGTCAATATGCACATAAAAGCACGCAGTAGTTTAAAATATTCATTTTTTTTTTTGCAAAAATCAACAACTGTTATTTTTATTTTGTTTTGACTGCCTACGAAAATGTGATTGTTTATTTTTATTTATTTTTTTTCAGGAAATAAAAACGCATTATGCCTTCTAGCTTATACATATCTATATGTACGAGTATCCACGTTGGATCTACAATTTATAACGGAAAACTTAAAATCGAACGTACGTACACGGCGTATGAGTTACTCTGATGAGATGAGAATGTTACTCATACGCCATGTACATATGTATGTTCGGTATTAACTTTTCCGTTTTAAATGGTAGATCAAATGTGGATTCACCATTTAGACACCAGGTTTGAGTTCAGAAATCCCGAAAAGCTCCGAGTCTCCAATTTCGAGCAAAAATGTTGAATTTAAAGTTAATCGTCCTTTATCTTGGAACAGTCATTCTGAAATTATAAAATACTAAACCAGATTCGAATCCAGCAACGCCGTAAACTCCCAGATTATCAAGTGTCGAGCAAAAAGTTGAATTAAAAAAAAATCGTATCACATATTGGATTAGATTTTTAAAATCCAACACTACCTTAGTATATACATATATTTTATTGTCGAATTTATGTAGGGGGCGAGCAAATTCGGACTGTCCAGTACTTCTATATTTTACACGAAGATCTACAGGTTTTATTGTTTTATAAGGCAAAGTAGCAGAGGAATATTTGTAAGAAACTTCCGTCATTTTTTGCCAAATTTAACTTTAAGACAAACGGGATAACTACTAAGTTATAGCGAAAGCAAGTTGCGGCAAATGTTGATCCTAAAAGCTCTTCCCAGCTGTAAGACCACAGCCTTCCAAAAACTGGTAGAAGTGTTGAAATTACTCCACCCTGTCGACCGCCAAGCAGCATATTGCTATTTATTCACCCATTAGATATGCATTCCGTTCCTTTATGTAGTCTCACCGCGGTAATCTCAATGGGACCTATGTACATTTTTAACCTAACCTTTGTTTGTGACCTTTGTAAGTCTAACGGTCATCTTGGGCAGAAAGATCATGCCCAGCATTCGCCGAGTTTACATAAGGAGCATACAGTTAAGGTTGATGGTGCGTTATGTACAGATCTTTGTGAAGACATGAGTAGAGAAAGAAAGTTGATTGGCGCCAGTCTAGCCTCGATGAGATCTATATTATCAGCCTTCTTTAGTCTTTCGCCAATGTTTGGCTTTCGCGATAGCCAAACAAACCGAAATCAACACGAAGACAGCGTCCAATTGCCGGAAGAGTCGCGTGAACTAGATGAGGTCCGTCTTGTTAGGGTTTACAGCGTTCCCACTATTAGAAGTTCGCTAAGAAAATACAGTGTATCCAGAAAGTTTCCTCTTTCCAAAAATGCAGCGTGCTACACATCATCAGACATTATGCTTGAAATACAATACCGGCGAACGGCAAACTTCGCCGAATTGGGCGATGCTGTCGTTCACCGTTCGCCCNAATAATTTGTTTCAAGCCAGATTTAACGAATCCACAACTATATTTTTCAAACAACAAAAAAAAATCGTGTTTAGGTTGTTTTCTTTTAAAACTTTGAAAGCAAAAAACAAATACGGCCACCTTTGGCACGCACAGCTGTCATCGCCCAGCAGGGCGATAGAAATAAATCTATCGCCATGAAACGCCGCCAAGCGAACTTCGCATTTCGCTTTGGCTGTGTTCAATTTCATATGCTTGCGGGTGTTCTAATTTTGACAGCGCGAATTTCGCTGTGGTGAGTTCGCCGTTCGCCGGCATTGTATTTCAGCTATTACACAGCTCTACTAGCAGAAAATTATAAAAAGGACCTTCGATTTCCAGAAAGGCACCACTACAGTAAAGTCTTTATGTATGAATAAGTGTGCAAATCAATCAGCTGCCTCAGAATTTTGACTAAAATTGATCCCACTGAATGGAAGGGCTTCACAGAAGCAATGCCTATTTAAGAGGTGTCTCATGGTCCATGTTGCATGGAAAATACATCTAAATGAAGCTTAAAGAACTCCGCGCTAACCAACGTTCAGTTTCCCAGCTCGTCTCTCAATAATTTCACTTTCGGACGAAATGACAAAACCTTAATCCTTCCTAACAAAAGAAAAAAAACGAATACCCTGTGGTCTAGTGTTGTTTTCGGTAAAGTTGAACACGGACACATCCCCTTTCATAATACCTATAAAGTTTTTGTGAGTTTGTTGGACTGTGTAATTTATCACTAATGGATTAAATAATTAATATTATATTTTTTTTCTATGTTTTAAAATTTTTATAATTCAAAAAAAAATTTATATTTTAGAGTTTACTACTCATACTTGCATAGATATCTCTGTTGATTGTCAATTGAAATGTTTGAATACTCACAGTGTTTGCTCTTCTCGGCAGCCGCTTGATGTAGAGGCGCTTGGGCCATTACAGTAAAAACCATTAGCCACATTAGCAGCCATTTAGTAGTTGGTGTTGTTGTTGCTGCTGCTGGCGTTGTTAATTTTGCAGCACCTTTTAAACTGGCCGAATTTAAATGAATGTCGGAGCTTGTAGCCGATGTTTTTGTTGCAGTTGTTGTAATGCCAACTGTTGCCCGCTTCTTGTCTGCTGTTACTATTATTTTGTCAGTAGCTGTTTTTGTTTTCAAGTCAATTTTTCTTGTTGCTTCTTTCGCCACTGGCATTGTTAGAGTTTTTGTTGCTGTTGTCAGTGCTGCTGTGAGCATCATTGGTAATTTTAAAATTGACCAACTGTTTTTGCTTTTGTCAACAACGCTTTTCTCAATAAATGCAACACAATTGCCGATTGTTGTTGATGATGCTGCTGGAGCATTTCCTGTTGTTGCTGTTATGCTAAAATCAGCATCAGCATCAGCATCAGCAACAGCAACGTTGCGCTCGCCTATACCCACTGACTTGAATGCTATTTTCTCAACCAAAACATTGCCGGCCAATGGCTCTTGCTCTGTTTCTACTCTTGCTGCTGCAGTTTTTAGTTTCATTCGCTTCATTTCTATTTCGCCCCCACCTACTATTGACTTTTGCTGTTTTTGTGTCACATTTTCATCATTTTCACAATTTTCACGTTTCTCCACCCGTTTTTGTGACTCATGGCGCTTGCTGGCATGGGCGTCCAGCATTGCTGATGATGCTGGGGGCGGCGGCGGCGGCGGTGGAGGTGGCGGCGGAAGCGGTGGCCCCGGTCCGCACGATGTGGGCAGCAACATGGCGGCGTCTACACGTCTGCTGCGCCGTTTTTGCTTTACCGTTCAACTGTCCAATTTAGCTGATGCTTTTACACGCCCACTACTCGCCTTCTTCTTTTACTTCTCTCCCTTCACTTTCTGGCGCACTACTTTTCCGGCACTATTTGTTTGCTTTTTGCTCTGCTCTACACTTTATTCCTAATTTCCAATTGCATTTGCTGTTATTTTATTTTCTTATTCTCTTCTTGTTGTTGTTGTGGTTTATTTTCCAACAATTGCCGCTGTTGTTTTTATTGTAGTTGTTTTCCTCCTCATTGTAGCGCAATTAAGCGCTTTTAATTGTAATGACACTTGCAGATGCTCGAGGCAATAGCAGTGCGACTCCAGCACAGTCGGAAATTTTCATCAATTTTAATCAGTCAACGCTTTTGAAAAGTACGAGTGCGGGGAGAGCGGCTGAGAGTTGGCTAATGGTATATATGGCCTTTGCTGAAAATAAGTATTGAGAAAATAAGCTATTAGTAAACTTGAGCGTTGACGGGCAGGGAAATGGAAATGGTTTTTTTTTTAATTACATATTTCAAAGACTGTGAAAACTCATAAATGAATTCAAATGCAAATAATGATTTTTGGAGCTAATTTAAATTTTCGCGGAAGTATTGCAAAATGATGCACACATTTTAAGTTAAGATTTTTCCATATAAAAAATAAATTCAGATTTTTCCTGTCGCTATTCAAGTGGATGCAAGTGTATGTATATAACGGTACTATCGATAGTATCCCAGTTCTACCTGGGAGTGATTATTGTGCTTACGGTTCAAATCGTAGCTCACTACGTCTGGATACTTCCACGTATCCACGTATACTCTGGCTAGCGAACAAATAGCCGTTTAGGAGCGAGCTAAAGTGAGAAGGCATAAGACTTCGCGTGAGCTAGGTTTGTATCTCGCCACGTAAAAACCCGCCTAATGAGAGAGAAAAACAGGCCTCGGATGAGACCCCCTTCTTTTTATGTCCGGACCCTCAATGGGCAAGGCACCTTTGCCCGGCTAGTTGATGTCCTCGCGAAGACAAAGTTTGGCATCATCGCCATTCAAGAAATTCGATGGACGGGGCAATGCAAGGTAAGCTTGAAGCCTTGCGATATCTACTTCAGTTGCCATGTAAAGCAGCGCAAATTCGGTGCTGGATTTGTGGTGGAAAAGAGACTCCGCCGCCGAGTACTGGCTGTAAACCCGGTGGACGAACGTCTAGCCAGAATCCGCCTCAAAGCGGGATTCTTCAACATTTGGCGCATCTGTGCCAATGCCGGACGAAAGAAGAGGGCGAGGCATATGAGAAGCTCGGCCAATTATTATTATTATTATTAATATAGTTAAAATGGCGAAATTCTTAGTCATTAACATATGTATTTTTTTTTAAACTGTTAGAAATTTTCAAGGGTACTCAATGATAAAGTTTTCAAAGGACATTTTCAATACCTACTCCACATTTTTCACCAAAAAGTTTAATTTTGTTCAATTCTACAGAATTTTCTCATTCGTTTGGTACCTCTATTGCTATTGCACTGCGGGCAATTTGACCAATTTTTTGAGAAAAAATAATTATTGATTGGCATATGATTTCCCAAAATTTCGCATAAGAAAATCGTACCCCTTGACGACCGATGTGGCTAAAACGGTCACTTTTTAGTTTGTGGTTTCATTGAAAAAGTTTACGTTCAGGTTTATTCTCAATAATTGTTTTAAAGAAAAAAATGCCGCTAGGTTATAAAAAACTATTTATACAGTGGGGAGATTCCTTTGCGACTGGTGAGACATTTGACTCCATAATGTGATCAATTGTGAATAATATATGTATAATAATCTAGTGTATAAATTCTAAGGTCTTTGTAACTATCATTGCATAAAAATTCCTTTAATTTACCTTTGTGTCGACAAAATTGAAATTCAGTCAAAATACTTAGTTTTCAGGAAAGATGTTTTTGGATTGTAAAACATATACTACACGCTTTCGTTTACATTCAAAATTAGGCTGATGTAATCTTCACAAAAATGCTAAAAAAAAAAATATTTAAAATTATGAGTGCTGGGATTGGTCCTTGTGATTTGTGTAAAGTAATTAAGTATAGAGAAAAAGTTTCCATAGACAAAAATTAAAGCTTCTTATTAATTTTTTTTGTTTCTTAATTTTCAACAGATCAGGGAAATTTACTCATTTAGCAGGAGTTTACTACTGAAATAGTAATAATAATAAAAACATTTATATATATTTATATGCATCCATGCGCCTCATTTCTGAAATCGAAAGAGAGTCTCTCGAAGCTAAATCAAACATAATATACGTACACTTTCCTCTGTCACAAAACGCACCAAGGATAAAACATATTTAGCGTTGTTGTTGTTTTTTTTTTATGTCGCAAAAAATTTATATTTGAAAATATTTTTCTACACTCAAATGTCATTGGAAATTTGCATTGAAAGTGGAATTTGCTGGCTCGTTCAACTGTCTGGCACAAATATTTAATACGCTGACAGCTGATTGCCATTACGCGCAATTACACACCACTTCGATTCATGCAAATGTAGCATATTTGCAACACACGAGTGCGTGCAACAAATAATAAAATCGAATATTTAGTAGATAAGTAGGAGCGAGTGTGTTTGTATTTGAATATATTTCACAAGTCATAGTACCCACATTTTGCAATTGCTGCTGTGAGCAACAGAGGAAAACCTTCAAAGTTCATTGCATTGCAGGCGTGTGACGTCGCCGCCTTTATTGCACCAATAAACAACACTGTTGTTGTGCGCTAGTATGTGAACTGAAAATAATTTTCTGGATTTGTTTTTTTCTTGTTTTGCATATTCTAAGCTTGTCATCATTTGCAGCGAGACAAATAAACAAGTAAAAAACGGTGACAAACAAATTGATCGACCCAACCACTGGCACCCATTTGGGAGCACTCGCACACAGTTCAAGTGTTTACGTACACCAATACATAAACCAAAGAATGTTGGAACCTTCACATATATACATACATATATATTCGAACATCGAAGCCACATTGGCGCCAAGCCACCAAACAAATTAAGAACGAAAGTGTCACTTGAGCAGACGTTGCGTATACGCCCCGTAGTACTACGGCTTGGCAATAAACAACAACAGGTGACTATTGGAGAGATTGAGTACAACAGCGCCCGACTGTTACTCAGCCAGTCAGCTAGCCAGGCAGCCAGCCAGGCAGCTAGGCATGCAACGAACTAACTAACCAAGCGACCGCATAAGCCAACCAACTAACTATCAAAGACGAAAGCTATTTACCAACAACCACCACAACAACTAAGTACATATCTAAATACTCATGCATACAGCAAACATTTAAGTGGACAAGCAAACCGAACCAATGGACAATCAAGTCGACCAATCATTTTCATTTGAAGCAGAAGCAGCCACCATACTATTAGATACATATATATGTACGTGCGCATATTTTTATATGTGTATATGTTCATATTAAAAAGTAGCTGTAAGCAATTCACTTTAGAGTCAGTCCGTCCAGTCATCTTTTCAAGCAGCACAACTATTCAAGCCAAGGCTGTTGTGGTCATTCTAAAAGTTATTGCGAATGTAGGGCATTGATAGTGAGAACATTCCTCGGACGGACGACAATATAAGTTGGAGGAGATAACAACAACGGTACCATGTATACAGATTTATTATATCAAAGACTTGAAAATTTATATATGTGTGGGTAACATAGACAGAAAGATCCTTACCAGAAAATACTGAGTAAATACCCAGGTAAATACCAGTATTTTATAAGTAGCAGAGAGTAGTAGAAGTTTTGGCAATACGATTTTAAAAATTAATTAAATTTGAAAAAATGTTCTTAAATCAATAAAAACTCATAAGGATAAATCAATATTTTGCTGTTGTATAAGTTCCGACGACATTGCTAAAACTCACAATTGATCACATTCTGGGGTAAAATGTCCAACCAGTCACAATGGAATGGCCATTAAATAAAATAAATAAAATTAAAAATAAATAAAATGGAAATAANTGAAATATTACAAAAATTCTGTTCCTAAAACAAAATCCAAAAATAAAACAAAAAAATAAACCAAAAATAATAATTAAAGTTAAAAAAAAAATTAAAAAAGTATTTAAAAATTAAGTAATTAAACTAAACGAAGAATAAAAATTTAAGGCATAAAGGTAAAATTTAAATATTTGATAAAACAAAAAATAGAAAAGAATAACATAGAAATAGAAAAAGAGTAACATCCAAAAATTAAATAAAGAAAACAATTACATAAAAATATACGTACTTTTAAAAATTAAATAAAATAAAAAATTTGTATTTTTCTTTATAAAAAAATAAGATCTAAAAATTAAAAGAACATTAGTTTAAAAATGAAACAAACTGAGCAATAAAAGAAAAAACCGCAGCTCTAGGACTCGAACTCGGATCTGTCGAGCGACACGCTTGTGCTTTGCTCAATCGGCCATTGCGACTGTTGGAGCGACGCGAGCTAAATCAAATACAAGTGCTTTCTCTCACGAGTGATGAATGAGAGAGCTTACTTCTAATATAGGACTTTTATGTTAGTGCACGTGAGCTCACTTTTTTTGTGAATATGGTACAATAATATTTGGACTACCAAATGGCGTTATCACCAAAACCTGTGATCGCCTGCATTTTTTTAAAAGCTTCATTGAAAAGGGTTTTCTTGAAAAAATGTATGTATTTTAAATTAGAAAACCAAATTAAAATAATTAAGGTTAGTTGGAAGTAAATAAGTTTATAATTTCCAGGAAATGCATGTTTAAACATAGAAATTTATTTGTTTAACAAAATTTGTATGAACAATCTTCTAACTTTGGTAACAACATATGCCAAAAGTACCCATCATTTTAATATATTTTACTTAGTTTATAATCGCATGCATATTTGACTGTATATATGAGTGATGGTCCTGTAAGAAATTTGCATTAAAATTAAAAAAAAAAAAATATTACTTATTTATTTTTTCTTATTCTTTTAAGTAGTTCACTGAAGAATTTCAGAAATATTATTTGCGATGTATTAGCATAAGTAAATATGTACTAGGGACATGACACGTACATATATATGCATATTTCCAGTTCTTCAAAAAGATTTAAGGCCTTCTATAAATAACAAACATTTACATGATAAGTTTTCCCATAAATAGTTATGGAAATATGAGTGTACGTGACAAAACGTAAAGTTTGTATCTATGTATATATTTATCCACATACTCGTACATACATACATATGGTCGAGTATTTACGTACATTTCTTGCTTGTAAGTGGACCTGAAGTACAAAATATTGCAAAGAAGTACGTTTGACTGCACTGCGAAGCACGAAGTGCATGAAGTACGGTTGGTCACATTATGTTTGCAACACATTTCGATAGGACTAACAGATATCCTGGCTCCAGTGGCACCTACATCAGACTT